TCCCCACTCCACCCTTGGCCCCGCATCGAGGACAGGGCTCCCCATGGGGGCCCAGGGTGGTTGGGGGCTGTGGATGTTAAGGGGAGACCCAGCACCTCCCCCGGACCCTGGGGAAAAGAGGCAAAGCAGCACTCCTGCGCAGCAAGTCACCCGTGAAACACGAGCTCTCCCTGCCCACGGGAGACGCTGGCCCTCTCTGGACTCGGCCATTCAAGGCTGTGCTTTTGCAAGCACCGACAAGCTGCAGCTGAGACTTCCCGAGGAGGATGGATGCACCTGTGGTCAGACACGTCTCCAGCTACACGAGGTATTTCACCGTGTCCCAACATGACTTGGTTTTGTTTTGCAGTAATTGCTTCTGGCCGTGGCTTGTGCCACTGCTTGGAACTGTCCCCTTTGCTGCCCTGCCAGGGCCGGGAGGGGTTTCGGGGCCAGGGGGTGCTGCTGAGTGCCCAGACTTTGCCTGTAGTCTGTCAGCCTTCAGCTGTGTTCGGAGAAAAACAACCCAATTGCCTCATCAGGGCGAGGAAGGGTCCTAGGAGGGCCGAGTCCCAGCTGCGGTCCCAGAGGGAACGCATGCCTTCCCCCTGCACGAGCCCCTCGGGAGCGCCGGCTGACCCGGGATTAGTGTGCAATTCCCTGCTCAGCACTAACCAGGATTATCCCTGCTGGGCTCGGGAGTTGTGTAAGGTCTTGGCTCCCCTGCAAAGCTCTGGGTTCTCACCAGGAGCAGTGCAGCAGATCCAGCCTTGTCCAGCACTCGCTGCCACACACCCAGACACAACCGACTCATTTCTAGTACGTTTATTGCAAGGGGACACCAGATCCTGTTTTATGCCCACAGAAAAGGGCTGCCCAGCAGCGGCCGCCGGCCCTGTGAAGCCTTCTTCCAGCAGGTGCACGCCAGATCTTCAGGTCTGCCTCACCAGCAAGCTGGCTTGAAGACAGACCGTCATTGGGGCTGGATGAGCCTCCACAGGCAGCAGGAGGGCCGGTGCTGGGTCGAAGGGACAGTGCAGAGGTGAGATGAGCAGGTCTACAGGTAGGCAGGCAGGTCCTTCTCGATCACCTGTGAGACGGAAGAGAGCACTGTGCTGCGAGAACATCATTGCCCCAAAAACATGCCCGAAGCCTCCTCCATCCCGCCCCAGAGGGACTGCTTGGAACCACCGACCCACTGGTCGGTGCTGGGCACCCGCTTTCCCTGGTGCCACAGCCAACCCCCCCAGAGCACAGGGGTGCCTTTTCTCCTCCCAGCCAAAGGAGGAAGAGAGCCGAGACACAGCAGCGGAGCCTGCTCTGGAGTTGGCACTGTTGCACGTCCCCTTCTCCCGCGGGTCAGGCAGAGCTTTAACACCAACCACGCCGGCAGCAGACTTACGTAGGGATCCTCCATTGGACTGTACCTCTTCACCACTTGGCCCTCCCGGTTAATGAGGAACTGTGGAAGTGAAGCAGCACCCAGGTGAGCGAGTCCAGCTGTAACACGGGCTCTGCAGCCCTGCGAGAGCAGCCCAGGGGCAACCCCAGCTTCTGGTGGGGTTTGGCTGGGGCGGGTCCTGCCTGCAGAGCTGTAGCCCCTGGCAGGCCCGCTCCCCCCTCAGCTGGTTACTGCCTCTCTGGGACAGGGCTGGAGACAACCAGGCTAGGGTCTCCTGGGGGTCTCCAGGCACAGGGACCAGGACAGTGCAGGAACCCCTCGGGCCGCTCCTATCCCGACATCCAGGGTAACCGCACAGAGCAGAGCCTGTGTGTGAGGATCCCTCCTTCCTGCAATGCCTCAGGGACTCCCCACCGCCCCCCAAAGAGTGAGGGCGTGACCCGGGCAAGCCTGGGAGAAGGCAGCTGTGTCCTACCTTAGTGAAGTTCCACTTTATTGCACTAGGAGAGAAAAAAACAGAAGTGAGACGGTGGCAGAAAACCCCCTTCCTCCTGCTGCAGCCAACCCCTCCCTGCCTGCCGGGGTGGCTTCCACAGCCCCCCCCCCTCCCCACACTCACTTGCCCAGGGTGCCTCTTCCTTTGGGCTGCTCCTTCATCCACTTCCAGAGCGGGTGGGCATCGTCCCCGTTGACGTCGATCTTGCTGTACATGTCAAACTTCACACCGTAGTTTTCAGCAAATGCCTTAATCTGAGCGTTGTCCCCCGGCTCCTGAGGAAGGCAACAGAAGGGGTGTTCTGTGAGCGTCCCGGGGCCGCGCACGGAGCCCGGGGCTGCCCTTGCGCTCCCGGGGAGCCCTCGCCCCGCTCCCCCCGCATACCTGTTTTCCAAACTGGTTGCAGGGAAAGCCCAGGATGCGTAAACCCCTCTCAGCGTATCGGGCGTACAAGTCAACGAGCTGAGTGTAGTTTACAGCGGTTTTTCCTCATTTTGAAGCCACGTTGGTGATGATGCAGACGTAGCCTCTGGAAAGGGGGTGACGGCTCAGCAGCCGTTCC